GCCAACTGGATTGAACTCCATTCACCACAACTCTTTGGACGCGGCCGTCCAGCCAGTTTTCTTACCGAGCGAAGAGTACACACATCCAAGCCATGAGCAGCCAGTTTCTCTAGAAGAATGCTGTGGGAAACGGTGTCAAAGGTTTTACTAACGTCTGGGTAGACAATATCCACAGCCTTTCCCTCATCCAGTAAGCAGGTCACCTTGTTATAGAAGGAGATAAAGTTAGTCAAGCAGGACCTGCCTTTCATAAATCCATGCTGACTGGGCCTGATCACCTGGTTGTCCTGTATGTGCCATGTGATGGCACTCAAGATCGATCTGCTCTATAACCTTCCCCAGCACTGAGGTCAGACTGACAGACCTGTAGTTCCCTGGATCTTCCTTCTGGTCCTTCTTGTAGATGGATGTCACATTTGCTAACCTCTAGTCAACTGGGACCTCCCTGGTTAGCCAGGACTGCTGATAAAGGATGGAAAGTGGCTTGGCGAGCACTTCTGCCAGCTCCCTCAGTACCCTTGGGTGGATCCCATCTGGCCCCATAGACTTCTGTGTGTCGAAGTGGTGTAGCAGGTTGCTAAGCATTTCCCCTTGGGTTATGGGGGCTTCATTCTGCTCCTCGTCCCTGTCTTCCAACTCAGGGGGCTGGGTACCTGGAGAACATGTAGGGGGAATAACTGCTTATAGCCACACCTGGCATGTTGAATCCATACTTTTAAGTATTGCAAGTATTTTGAAGTATATTGTATTCTCTCTCGGCTGTGCTGTTGTAACAAGGCATCGCATGCTATAGAAGACCTCTTAGGGCAAAGCTTGGGAAGTTGTATGTGACGTGGCCTGTTCAGAAAAATGCTTCCATTATCACTGCCATTCTTGGAATAAATGAATCATGGTCAAGGTCTTTGCCTTCGTTTGTAAAACTTACAAAGTATGCTGGCTGCCGGGAAATAAAATAGCATGGTGTATGTGGCAAACATGGTAAAAAGTCTACTCCAGATGGCCAAGAAGGTTGGTTTACTTGTACGTTTCTTTTCCTAATGATTTTAATAGATGTGTACATCTTCTGTTTTCTTCTGAGTTTAGAAAAAGTCTTTTAAAAGCCCCTTCATATAATGGCTATCTGATCTGACATTTCAGGAAGATCTTTCAAGAGCAAATACAGTCAGATTCATGCCAGTTGAATCTGCGGTTCCTTCCCACCCACGCTTACAAGTCTCCCTGCATTATTTTAGATTTCTTCTTAGAATGACATGTACAGATTTAGAGACTGGGTGTCCTTTGAAATTGTTAGACTCTTTCCTTGATGTGATTGTATTAAAACTAAAACAAACTAACACCACTACCCCCAAAACACCCTAGAACAAAGTGAACAAAAATATTTTGGGTCACGAGCTAACAACTGCTTTGCTGCTGTGTTACGTTGTTGTATGCATTTGTTGGGTGCCAAAGATAGTTTGGAGAGCACTTTTCGAAGGTACACCCTGTAAAACTTTATTTAAATTACACTCTGGATTTGTTTTATAAAATAGAGATAATTCTGTTTCAAAAATGACACAATTATTGCATGCTGCAGTACATCCACATTTATTGATTTTTTTTCAGATGTCCAAGTATTGGGTTGCTACATTAGAAGTCAAAGCTATTTAGATGTACCCTTGTTCCTACAATCTGTTGTTATGTCTGTGTGCATAAAATCTCACTGTTTCAAACCCGTGTATGCTGCTGAATGGGGAATTTGTTTTGACTATGTTTTCATAGCTGATCTTATGTACTCATGGGTTTGGACAAGGCACATCAGTGCGATCAGGGTAATGTGTGAGTTTCAGAAACTGCTCTACGTAGTCCATGTACCCAAAGAAGGTGGGGCTAAATATTTTTTAAAAAAGAAACAAAACTTTTTTTGGGGAAAAAAATGTATGAAAATTATTTTTCATCCACAAATTCCAAATTTGTTCTTACATAGTGATCGCAGTCAAAATTGGAGGGGGGGGGAGGATTTAAGCACATTCTTGTCACTTATTTAAAGTAATTTCTGAAACTAGTTTGGAGGCCAATGTTGTAATCTGCATGTTTAAAATTTGGAAAACTTTTTGTATCTGAGATTTGCAGCAATTATGTCAAACTGCTATGAATCTTTTTTGAAACATGGAGTCTTTATTAATAATGAAGATGCCCTCATCTGTGGATTAACAGTTTATGTTTGCTAATTAATGTTGTGTATATATGCATTATACCGCTATGCATGCTAATAGGTAGTACATTAGATCACGGAAATTACAGGAACTAGTTATTGTTAATATTTCTAGAGATGAAATTTATTTACATTTTATAATAGTCACAGGTTAGGGTAGTTAGAATCTCATATGCATATCTCTTTATGTAAACCTAATTTACATCTCAAGATTAAAATGGAAGGCTAATAATAGTGCAGTAATTCTTTAACAGTTCTACCTAAAATTAGCCCTTCCTGTCTAGATTTGGACAGTAATTGCTTGGAATCAAAAACAAAGTATTGACTTCACACTAACAAATCTTAAATTAAAATTATGAAATGGTTGCCTGCAGTAGCAATATTCTGGATCTCATGTCCTAAAGGAGTTCTTCTAGTTGTGTGTTTTAAAGGTAGCTTAAAATTACAGCTTGAAACTCCACTATGTATATTTACTATTTTATGTTCATAGTTGAGCAAGATAATGCAAGTCATAAGAATGAAATTATTGAACTTTAAAATTACACTTAGAGTTTCAATCTTGTAGCTTTCCTTGGCAATCTGGTAAGATACTTGATTTTGAAAACTGGATGAAACCCCTGCAAGCATCCTGCAATACTGGAAGCACACATAGAAATAAAATAGTGTGCAAGTGTCTTAATCAGGGGGGTGGGGGTGAAAGGAAATGGAAAAATTTATTAGCGGAAGATTAAGTTTTTGAAGTTACGCTGTTTCAGAGACTGTTAACGCTTCACTTTCTTAGATCAGCTGAAGGGGGCCACTAAAGACTGATTCTGTCACCTGCTGATTTTTGACCTATAGCCTCTATGCTGTTACATTTCATCCCAGAAGACTGTGGTTTTAATACACAAGAGTACTGAATGAAAATGAGTTTGGTCTTAAGGTTTCTTTGTTCTAATCTTCTTAGATCTCTGGTGGAAGAGGAGGATCCTCATATGAAAGTATCTCTTGGTAGCAGCGATATGGGCATCTCTGCCCATCTACAGTCTTCTAAGACAGGGACCACAAGATTTTTCACCAGCAATACTCACAGTTCTGTGGTGTTACAGGTAATTAAATGTTTTTGTGTCAGTATCGATCTGTACTGAGAATTTTGGCTGCTCTAAACAATGCCTCCACTCAATAGACTTTATCAGACTAGTAATTCCTAAAAAGCCTCAAAAAAAAATGTATGTTAGTGTGCTGTGGCTGACAATGCCCCCAAGCAAGCATGGCTTGTAACTTCTTTTCCTGCGAGTTAAAGGTTTGACTTTTAGCAACAGCTTGGAAAAAAACCTTGGCCTTTTCTTTGGGTTGTATCCCTGTCCACTCTCAACTTCTAAGAGGTAATATTGTTTAAACTATGAAGTGACAGCTGTATCAAAGAAGATCACTTGAATATAATCATGTAATTATGTTAGGCAAACACTTGTACCACTTCCTGTGCGAAAGCTGCCTTAAGGATGTGAATGATGCTCCTTCTTCATGTCCCTAAGATGGCAGAGCCCTGCCAGGTTTGGTGTAACACCCTGTGCTGGGTCTGACTGTATGGCACTACCATATGTTAGAACAGATAAAAATGTTATCCTCTCTGAAGCTTTAAGAATTTAAAAGTAAAGTCATTTTATCTTCTCGTTTCTGCTGGAGCTTTTATATGCCATACAGAGTCAAGCTTACAGCTTGCATAGCTCTTGCTACCTTCCAATGCAGTCTTCCTCAGGAATGCAGATGACTTCTGTATGGCACGACTCCTTGGAGAACCACCACTTATTTTTTCAATTTGCTGCTGTGGTGGGTTGACCCTGGCTGATGCCAGCTGCCCACCAAAGCCGCTCTATCACTCCCTCTCCTAAGCTGGACAGGGGAGAGAAAATAATAACAAAAGGCTCGTGGACAGTGAGATCACTCGGATTACAGCCACAAGCAAAACAGACTCGACTTGGGGAAATTAGTTTAATTTATTACCAAATAAAAGCTAAATCTTAAAACACCTTCCCTCCACCCCTCCCTTCTTCGCAGGCTCAACTTTACTCCCGAATTCTCTACCTCCTCACTCCCAGTGGTGCAGGGGGACGGGGAATGGGGGTTGCGGTCAGTTCATCACACGTCGTCTCTGCTGCTCCTTCCTCCTCAGGGGAAGGACTCCTCACACTCTTCCCCAGCTCCAGCATGGGGTCCCTCTCATGGGAGACAGTCCTCCATGAACTTCTCCAACATGAGTCCTTCCCACAGGCTGCAGTTCTTCATGAACTGCTCCAGTGTGGGTCCTTTCCACGGAGTGCAGTCCTTCAGGAACAGACTGCTCCAGCATGGGTCCCCCACAGGGTCACAAGTCCTGCTGGCAAACCTGCTCCAGCTGGGCTCCTCTCTTCACAGGTCCACAGGTCCTGCCAGGAGCCTGCATCAGCGTGTGGGC